TTGCTCTACGATTTCGTTCATATTCATTTTTCTGAGCTTTTTTCTCTGGAGATACTAAATTTGCTCTACGATTTCGTTCATATTCATTTTTCTGAGCTTTTTTCTCTGGAGATACTAAATTTGCTCTACGATTTCGTTCATATTCATTTGTCTGAGCTTTTTTCTCTGGAGATACTAAATTTGCTCTACAATTTCGTTCATATTCATTTCTCTTAGCTCTTTTCTCTGAAGATACTAAATTTGTTTTACAGTTTCTTTGATACTCAGCTTTATATTCATTTGATTTGAGGCTGGTTGGTTGATTGCTGTTGTCATTAAGTTCATTTCTATTGTCACAGAAGATGTTGAAACATAGTGTGTTTCGCCTATATGACCAATATATATCGATCTCCTGTTTTCTAATAAATCACTATRTGCTGGCTCAATTAAGGTCATTTCCCTGAAATTTTGACTTGATTCTATAATATGAATCTTTAAATTCATTGTATCAGCAACTGCTTGTATAGCAATGTTATCAGCCCATGTGCCCTGCATAGACATATCCGATAAATACTGAGCCCATGKTGTGTCTTGCACACTTTCAATAAATCGTTCAGGGTTGTCAGTCAAATATGTCAYTCCTAAACCTCTGAGTGATTACTTGAATCACCATATAGTTGATGAGAAATTGACTTAAAGAAACAATCTCCTACTCCACCAACATCTAATGGTTGTAATCCATATCTAAGCATTCTATAGTGCAATATAAAATCTGGGTTACCATATGAAATGTTTTGAATAGCAGTTCCCATCACAGGCCCTGGATTCAATTCAACAYCCCCTGACAATAATAGCTTTTGTCTAGATACATTATACTTTGTAGGAGAAATTCTAATTTTCAAAAAATAGGAAGAATAGAAGMTGTCTTGTCTGTAAATATATTGCAATCCCCACTGTTTATAATACTTTGCAATTTTATGTATAACAGATGAAGTAGGACCTGCTGTTTTCAGTATTTTCTTATACTTGCATCGGTATTTTCTACTTTTGAACAAAATCATCTTTTTCATATTTATTAGATGGTTCTCTTTGCCTTTTTCGATTAGATGACTTAAAGCACAGTCGAGAATGTCTGTGATTTTTGATACACGCYTGTTTGATTTTATCTTTATAGTTTCTTTCCTCTATATTGAAATTCTTATTGTCTATCTGATAATCGTTTGAAACAGGCACAACTTTCGTGATAGCTTTAATTGAAGTGATTGTATTACTTTCTTTTGACAGAGCATCCTTTAATTTCAATGCTGAGTCCACATGGTACGAGCGGTTTATCACATGACTCGACCTCATTTGAACATCCCACATGTTCACATAGTTCTCGAAATCTGGCAATAACATAGATCCCAAAAGGGATTCCGTACCTTTCTGAAGGAAATTCGTTTGGAACCCGCGAAGGGGCATTACAGCTCCCATAAGAGAATTCATTTGGCACCCGCGAACGGGTATTATAGCTCCCATAAGGGAATTTCTTTGGCACCCGCAAGCGGGCATTATTATAGCTCCCCGAAGGGAATTTSTTTGGCACCCGTGAACGGGCATTATAGCTCCCCAAAGGGAATTTGTTTGGCACCCGCAACCGGGCATTGTAGATTCCAAAAGGGATTTTTGGGAATACAATCTTTGATGACAGGCACAGGTCGTCAATTCGAGGACACGGTGATACGATTCCGTGGGATAAACCGCTCGATCGCCATGACTAGACAACAGCATACGTTTACACGCTTCGCTTGTTTTCTTTGCAGATAAACATCCTAAACTTTCAATAAACCTAGAAAAACCTTTTAACGCAAACACTTCATAGACGTATCGAAAGCTGAGCCTGGTTCTTGATGTATAATAGTGTAAAAACATGATTAAATTTGCAAAACTCACCTTGCGTAGATTTGTTCGAAGAGACGAATTGCACTGAAAAGCGGTACCTGGTACGACCTGATACTAGTTTCGTCGGGGGAAGTAATCGATATTGATCCGGCAATCCATTGAAGTACGACGACGTTATATATAAACAACAATCAATCCAACATAATTTAGCAAGACTTTAAGTACACAATCAGAAAAGTATAAAGTGAATATTCAAACAACTAACAGAAAAGCTTTGAAAAATAATGCTTTCAAATAAA